TTAATTGCACTTCATAAAAATATATTTGTTTTATTAAATCCTTAGGGTTATTATTATGTGACACTATACTTTGTTCCTATTGCAGGTCTTTATTGGTTTTTATGTGATACATAGGACTTGTCAGGTTCTTCTGAATAACTTACAGTCTTCAAAGATGGATACAATGAAGTTAAAGCATGATATTAATCCTCTTCTTCTTCATATTATAAACTTCGCAGTTTTGGTATACACATTTTTAACTTTTCTTCCATGGTATTTATTTTCTGGATCAAAATATATCATAACCAAATCAAATCAAATTAAAGCAAAACCAGTGAAGAGCACACCTGGAAGTGCATATAGATCTGTTAATAGTTTGCATTGCTTAGCATCTGTATTTTATCCTGAATGCGACACCCTTGATAAAGCTTTCAGACACGCTCGAAGTAAATTTAAGGACAAGAATCTCCTGGGGACAAGGGAAATATTACAAGAAGAAGATGAAATCCAGCCATCTGGAAAAGTGTTTAAAAAGGTACATAGTGTTTATTTTTTATGGGGAAGAGGGAAATATTTGTAGTTTTATTCTCTAGACCTGGGAGCTCATTATCTTGCACTTCAACTACATCTATGGGCCTGTTGAAACTCTAAAACAACTATAGAAGGTTAGTGAGGCAGGATTCACCTTTGGCAAATCAACACTGATTTTCCTTCAAGAGAGTTAATTTCTCTGTGTTTAGTTATTCTTTTTCCTTTGTTTAACTTTCTACCAATTTCTGAAACAGATTTTAAGTTGAGAAATGTGCAACTCCCTGAATTTCCAGTGAATTCCTTTTTAAAAACATGTCACATTTCTTACCTCCAGTTTGTTGGCACTAAGACCAATTTGAGAAAGAAATATATATTTTGCTAACAAATCAACAATTTCACTTTTGTATTCTTGAAGAATTCTTGGTGTGATTTGGATTTGATATGTTGTTACCTTTTGTGTGGACTCTCAAGATTAAAAATGGGATAGACGAATTTCTTCTAAGATGCTCTGTACAGAGAATAGCACAGGTGCATGTGTCTTAGTCCACAGAGCTATCCCCTCACAGGTGATTGCTGCTGAATATGTTTTTATAATGCCCCTGCGGAACTGCGGGGAACAGTGTATTCATGCCAATGAAATTTTAGTTTTAAACTGAGAGGGAACTAGAATGTGGACCATGCATATTTGAGAACAATCCATCAACCTAGGATTAGGCCTAGACTGGCTTGGAGAGCTCTATGACAGATAGGCTGCCCAAGATGACTCTTGACATTTTCAAACTCAAATGAATAGAGTCTTTCAAAAGAGAAACTTAAAGATTGGAGTTTGCTATTAGCTCTAATTAACCAGTCTGATTTAATATGGAGTCTGAAAACTAGTGGAGCCAGACCCATAAGGAAAAAAAGAGTAAACAGAATTTAATGAAAGAGGCTCTGGCCCCCGTAAAACCAGGACCTATGCTTAATTGTGAGGTATCTTTTTGATGCAATTTGAAGCTAATGATAACTCTTATAAACTTGGATCGGGCAGCAGCTTCTAAAGTATTAAAATGTGCAAATGTGGACACCATAAATAAACTGAGATATAATCTTAGCAAGAAAGATTTCATAAGCTATGGAAATAGGATGAGTCTCCCTTTGAATAGAAGTGTCTTAAGTCAGCCATATAAACAAGGGCACATTTTATTTGTTTTGTATAATTATTTATTATACTGCCTTTATTTTTTACAAAACAAGGTGGAAAGCATGCTTAATACTCTTTCCTGTTATTTTCCCTACAAAACCACCCCCATGAGGTGGGCTGGGCTGAGACAGAATGACTGGTGCAAAGTCACCAAGCCAGGTTTCATGCCTACGGTATTAAAAAGCCTACCGAGCAAGCACAAGTTATACAATTTATGTTTTATAGTTAGTTACAAGTAAGTTATAAAATAAATTGGTTATAACACCACTTGTAACTAACTATAAAACATAAGTTTGATAACTAATTTTGCTTGCTTTATGTTTAACATGTTTTAACATAAATAAATTTAAAATAAATTTTAAAATTAAAATTAATATGTGAGAATAGATGAAAAATTAAGAAGTTAACAATACATGAGAAAGTCTATGAAGGAATAAAAACATATTTTTCTGCTATAAGGAGGATAATAAAGTAGGCTTCAGATGTGCCTCATTAGGAAGACTGCACCATATAAACATACTGTATGTTTATATATTATGTCCAATTTATGATTCAATAGTGTTAAAATTGTGTTAAGGAATTTTAAAACAATGTGTTTCTGATCTGGATTAAAAAAAAAGCTATCTGGATAAAATTGGACTTTGTGCCAGTACATTGATCTGACCGTAAATCTTACTGCAAATAAGTTTATTGTTTGTAAATGAATAATACTACTTAAATGATACTTAATGCAAATATTATTAATCTAAATGATATAGCAAGTAACACACACTAGAGGGCACAGTTTATCTCTTTATCCTTTTTAAGAGCTTAAGAGTATATGGATTGCTGTTTTATATATGTACTTGCATGTACTTGTATGTACTGTTTTATATATGTACTTGCATGTATCAGACCAACATACAAAAAACTGCATTTAAAAGCTGATTGGCTCTGTTATGCTTAGCTGCCTCTCTCTCAGTTGGTGTCCTGATACTAAAAAAGGAAGAATAAATTTAAAAGGTAGATAATAAGGGCCCTGCCTGGATATAAAACAGCAATGCAATTATCATATGCAATAGCTCCAATAGCCTTAGTTTCTTTTTCTGGAAAAATAGATGATGCCAAAATGAGAAGTGGTTTAAAAATTTGTAATAAGTTTTTACATTTGAAATAACCTGTTTAAATCTTCAATATTGAACAATCCTTTTAATTTTATATCTAAATTACTTTTATTAATAATGCATGCTTTTTTATTTCTTTCAAACGGCCACATTGAAATGGAGAGAGGGTCATACAGTTTCTAGATTAGAAGAATCTGAACAGATAGCAAAAGTAGAGATTTTCTGTATCTCTTATCTACTGCAGTTAGGTATAATATATCTTCTGAAAAAACAGCACAGAGAACTATGACTGGCTACGTGATAGGTTTAAAATGTATACAAGTTGTATTATGTAAGTCAAATAGAATTTATGCATCATATAGCTATAGTACCATGGATTGTGTCAGTGAAGAACGTGCTACACTTTTAGCAATGGTCTATGGCATTGTTATTAAATATTTGCTGTTCTTAAGCAAACCATATAGATAATATATGTCATTTTCATATTTCATAATTGGAAGGCAAAAAAAATCTTACTAAAAAGGTAAATAAGGATATCTCCTTATAATCTCGTTCATAGATAGATAGATACATTCATAGATACATAGATACATAGATAGATTATATGAACAGTTTTAATTATGTAAGTTGTTTTCTGGTGCATTTTCAACAGAGGAAAATTTTTACTCCCTGGATTTAAATTTTGATAAAGAAGAAAAAAAACGGGGATGACTGAAAGGCAAGAAGAAGAGCATAGGGTACAGGATATATAATTGCAGATCATATTTTTATGTGTCTTTGTGTGTGTAGTTTCTACATTTAAAATGTTTATAATTTTTGTCAGGTTGTACTTGGAGAATATAACTGGTTATCATATGATGATGTTTTTAAAAAAGCTAAAGCATTTGGTGATGGGTTAATAATGCTGGGCCAACAACCAAAGACCAACATTGCCATCTTCTGTGAAACCAGAGCAGAATGGATGATTGTAGCACAAGCTTGCTTCATGAACAATTTCCAACGTAAGTATGTGTACAGTATTAGTCTTTGGTGTTTTTCTTCTATACCTCTGTGTGTATGCTTGTTTAATTTAATTATCCAGGCATTCAAATAGAATCTACAATTTGGAGAAATACCCACCTGGCAATTCTGGGAACTATAGTTCTAACCTACCTAGAATACCATAAAAGCATTGGTCTATCATCTGTAACATTGCTGGCAAGTAGTCATATCATTATTATTTAGGAAGATAAGCTTTTAGGAAAATACAGGAAATCTAGATAGCCTTTTTGCAATTTCTTTTCTGAATTCTGATTTTTTTTTTTAGCAAAAAAGAAAAATGAAGAGCTTTTTGTTTTTTAATCTAGTGTTTTTCCAGAATCTGGTACAATATAAAGAAAGCAGAAAGAACATAATAATGAGGGGGAAATGAGGTTGGTTGAATGATAATCATTGAAATGTCCCAGTTCCATTTCAATTACCTAATTAACAGATAGACAAGCTTGGAGCAGTTCTGCCTTATATGGCATCAGGAATTCTGGAAAGTAGAGTAAGCCTTTAAAGGAGTCTTTGAGTTCAAAATTGGTAATCTTTATGAAGAAACAGATATAGCTTCCCCCTTACTCCCATACATACTTTCGGGAATGCCATTCTCTTTTTTCAGGGTCCTACATGGTTTAAGACTGGTCTCTTCTGCCCATTTCTGTGGTAATAATATTTACTAAATCCCGATGACTTTGGAATAAGGATTCAATATAATAATTTCACTGTGAGAATAATTTCGTATAATGGTGAAAGATACCGAACTACATGTTGGGAGGTCTTCCTAAAGCCCGGGAGCCGGCTGAGTGATTTTGGGCTAGTTTTTCTCTCAGAATTTAGAGAGAATTGCCAAGACAATTGTGTAGATTTGTCTGTTAGTTACCTGGAGTCAAGACTGAGTCAAAGACACACACTTATAATTTGCCTGTAGCAAATTATCAGCTCTGGATATGGTATTTTTAATTCATTTATGAAGGTTCTTATAATTTAGAAGCTTGTAGTTCCAGCAGTGGTTTAATTAGGTAAACTGGTTTAATCTGCAAGTGTTTGAATAGTAAAAAAAAAATTGGACTTTTTACATGTTGAATTAAAGAGGAATAAGGTAGTTTGATTGTAATGTGGCTTAGTACAGAATAACACCCTCATCCACAGTAATATTTTTGTGGTAGAACTCCATTTAAATAGGTCAGTTGTGAAGTATGGACAGAAAATAATAGTAAACTTGTAATCTCAAACAGAAGATAAAAAGACTTGTTTACTCTGACCTGTTCCATACAGAATGAATAACCGTGGGCTGATAGAGTATAAAATCCGATATGTGCTCCCATATTCCTTTTCTTATAAGTGAATACAAGGTAAACCAGACAAGAAATACAACTAGATGAACTAATTCCACTTTATTGTAAGGCTACATTAACAGAATCTTGTAAGTCTAAAAGTATGAACTTGCCACCTCCACCTATAACTGCTTGATCTGTCAGTTAGGTCCTTCCTAAGTTTCTTTCTCTGATTGTTAAATTGTTTCCTAGGCAGCATCTCTTTGATCCAAGGCCATCCACACATTCCATTACAAGTTAGGAATTGAAACATATAATTATTCCATTTATTTGGAAATTAATATTATGTTTGAACTAGCCAAGTATAATATATTTGTTCAGGGACATTGCAGACCCTACAGTGAATTACATTGGAAGTTACTGTATTGTATCAGTATCCGCTATAAAGAAAATCCTCAAGAGAGTTACAGTAATAAGAAAATGACAGCTGAAAGAAATAAAAGTATTTCACTAATAATATATATTTCTTAAAAGGGAAATTTGGCAAGTTTCTTTGTCTTTATTAAATTCTATTTACAGTGTGATAATGTAACAAACAGTGAAACATCTGGTATAGAAATGTTTGCAATTATCATTCGAATAGGATAACGAGAGAGAGTATTTAACTGGACATTTGAAGTTCCTGAGACGTGCTTCAGCTCACAGCATGATGCAGCATTTGGTTATCCCAAATTAATGAACTTGGCTGACTTACTTGCTGGCAGATGGAAGCAATGCCGTACACTTTTCACGTAGACATCTTTTTTAAAGTCAGAGTTGACCAGTGAAATACAATGAATTAAAATTTATTTAAGTTTGCACAATAAATATACTTGCTATTACATTGTTTGTTAGTTGCTAATTTTTAAAATCCTAACTTATTTTTAGCATAAAATAGCACAAAAATAATATCGTATTTTTAAACTTACCTTGATATTTTGAGAGAATTATGGACACATTATGTACACTGAAAAACCTCTGGTCTCAACCCTGTTTGGATCCTGATACTAAATTTTGTTTAAGAATTGTGTTAGTATACAAAAATATTTGTTTTATTTGAAGATAGGAAAATTGTTAAACCTTACAGTAAATGGAAATATAGCATCCACACTCTCCATTCATATCCTTTAAAAACATGTACAGTTGTATTGCACTTATGACCATATTTAATGACCATTCAAAGTTAAGACAGTACTGAAAAAAGTGTCTGACAGCTGGCTCTCCCATACTTACAATTATTGCAGCGTTCCCATGGTCATGTACTAGTCATCTGAGCACACGGCAGCTGGTTTGCACTTATGCAGCTGCAGCGTCATGATTGCTATTTGTAACATTCCAAGCTGACTTCCGACAAGTAAAGTCAATGGGGATGCCGACAGAAGGTTGCAACTCCCTCCTATCGGCTTCCACATTGACTTAGCAGTCATGTAATATCTTGCTTAATGATCATAGGTGGGTTTCTTTATGACCATGGTAAAAAAGATTTTAAAATTGGGTATAGTCATGTGATGTCCCACTTAATGATGCACTGTTATAACAATGATTTTTTGGTCCCTATTGTGCTAGAAAGTTGAAGATTACATTTATTTACTCTTATAATTTCAAGATTGATAATCATTCAGTTGTTGACGGCCAACCTAACTATATATTTCTTTAGAGTAATATTGAGCATAATAAATTTTGCTTTCACAACTGGGAACCTCTCTTCTGATGCTATGCATAGTTTTTCCATGAGTTTTTTTTTTTTTTGAACTTGAATCACTGCTAGAAAGCAACAAATATTAGCATAATGGCTTTTACAGGTAGAGTTCCTTGTTACTTTTATTTGTGACACATGTGCATTAAAAATGCACAGTGTTAAGTAGCAACTCAGTACACCAGACTCTTCAAAAATTTGGAGTGCAACTGGTATAGCTTATCTTGCCTCTTGTTCCATAACTTCATTGGGCCATGGACTAGATTTTGTTATCCGCTGATTGTTTTTGGTTCATTCACCACCATTTTTCAGTGTTTATACAGTTACTTAAGAGATTGGGTTTTTTTTTTTTTTGGCTATAGTTTGCTGAGGAAAGTTATGTTTCATAATAGGGGTCACAGGAATAAGCACAAGCAGCACATGGAAACTAACGTTTTTGTACTTTCTCCTACCAAATTAAAGAAATGTGAATTTGCTTTGCAATAATTTGGAATTGTATTCTGTACAGATTATATCTTTTGCCCCAGCTCCTTGTTCCCAAAGCAAATAGTTTTATCATTACCCTAGAACAAGAGACTTTTAAAAACTACTTTTCTTCTAACATTCTGTATACCTGTGTTCTTGGAGAATGAATGAATGATTGTCTGGAGGTGACCTGCATTAGTAGTGCTATTGGCAAAGCAGTTGATAGAGGAATAAGAAAGATCAATAAATAATCCACTTCCTGCCACCATCATAGGTGGCAGGCCAGGCAGGCAGGCAGACAGATAGATAGAAAGAATTATTTATTGGCCAAGTATGATTGGACACGCAAGGAATTTGTCTTGGTGCAAATACTCTCAAGAAAAGATACATTTGTCAAGAGTCAAGAATCATAACACTTAATAGTCATAGGGTACAATAGTTCACTTTGTGGAAGCAGCCACTGCATTGAATGGCCTTCCTACCAGTGAAAGCCACATGGCTCTGTTCTGGAAGCAAATGCCAATTTGGGAGGGAGGCCAAAGAGAGTGGCCTGCTCTCCTTCCTCTACCCAACATTATCTCTAGAGCTCCAGAATGTAAGTAGGATCCAATCTAGGTCGATCACCAGGACCAGAGGTTTAGTCTTCCGAGCTTTTGGACTCATCTTAGAGCCCATCATCAGGGAACTTCTCTTTTCCAGAATGTAAACCTCTGCTCTCAGTGACTGACCCAGATTGGATACTGCAACATTATCCTGAGACACATGTATTTGCCTTCATTCCAGAATATAGTGTTTGCATTAGTGCTGGGTTAGCTGTTTATGCTGCATTGGTGGGCTGTGCTTGCTGGGGCTATGTGCTGGGCTGCAGCAGCTGTTTGCATGCCCTCCCTCCCTCCCTCCCCCAGCAGCATCCACTTCAGTCTGGGATGGCCTTTTGGTGGCTTCCTACCTACTTCCTCATTGACTTTGCTTGTTGGAAACAGGAAGTCTCAAGGAGGTCCTCATTTAACAACTCCTCACTTTCACTGAACAATGACAGTAGGGACTTCTGGGATTACCAAAACCACCCAATGCAGTCATGTGACATCACACTTTATCATCACATTGCTTAGTGACAGAAATTTGGATTCCAATTACCATTATAATCTGAGGATTAAGTGTAGATACTCTGATTACAGTATTTAAAGAAAGACAATTACAGTGAGAAAACGATTAGCTTGTGAAACCAAATTACAGGTAGTCCTCAACTTAATCATTTGTTTAATGACCATTCCAAGTTATAGCATCACTGAAAAACTGACTTGTGACCACGTGCAAGCATTGCAGCATCTGCATGGTCACATAATCAAAATTTGGACTCTTGGCAACTAGCATATATTTATGACAATTGCAGTGTCCTGGGGTTATGGGATCACTTTTTGCAATCTTCTGACAAGCAAAGTTAATGGGGAAACCGGAATTGCTTAACAGCTTTGTTACTAAGTGTAGCTGCAGTGATTCATTTAGCAACTGTGGCAAGAAAGATCATAATATGGGGCAGAACTCACTTAACTGTCTTCCTTAGCAATGGAAATTTTGGACTCAACTCCTGAATTTCTAACATTTTTGTAGTTGAAAATATTGAATTTAAATCACTGTTACACTGAGTTCATTTTCACACTGTGCCATACATGTTTGATATATTCTGAATATTTGCAATAGGAAATGTATTGTTTGTTTCTCCGTTTTCACTAGTTGTCACACTTTATGCTACTCTGGGAGGTCCTGCAATAGTGCATGGATTAAATGAAACTGAAGTGACAACCCTTATTACAAGCAAGGAATTGATGGAAACAAAATTGAAGGTAAATATAGCCTTCAAGTATATAAACTTCTTTTATCTCTTTAATATTGTGGAGAAAAAAATGTTACATCTGGTTTAATTAGGTGTGGGGTCAGAGTGTTTGTGGAGTCCCCATTGTTTTGTGTTTTTTGTTGTTATATTGCTTTGTACTCCAAGTTATGTTTTGCTACTAAATATTTTGAATTTTTTAAATTTTGTGTAAAAACATCCAGTCTTTTGGAATGGGAAGCCATAAAAATTAAATAAAAAATAATATAACATCTTCCTTCTTTTCTGCTTTCCAGAGATTTTGTTTTCTTATAAAATCACACAAATACAAAAACATGGATGGCTTGTATGCAGAAAAAGATGATTAACAATTTCTGTGGTTCCTAAGCTAATGCTTAAATAAATCTGATATTTAGATGTGTTTATGTATGCTAAAGAATAATGTAGTTATTTTGTTTTAATTTAGCATGATATGGAAACCCAACAACATCCTGTAAACTATATCTTATGGCTTAAAATTTATATGAATCCAGTTTATTGTGTTTTTAAAAAAATATGTATCATAGAGCAAAAAAGGGCCTACTGCAATGTGATCATAATCTTTTGCATTTCTAGATGAGTATATTCATCTCTTTAAACAGGGTTATTTCTTCTGCCTGGTACAGTGCAGCTTACATGAATGACACAGCATACTGTACCTATATATTATTCCTGATAGGCGCTTCGTATTAACTAGAGCTGCGCAGCATTTTTGAATTGAAGGCAGAAAGTGCTCTGACATTCTTAATGCCTTTCTGCAACTCTGAAATCTAATTCTGTTTTTCCAGGGTTGTGCTGCAAATATAGAAGGCAGCTGTATGGTCCCTGGAAAAGATTCAGCTACTTTAAGGAGTGGCAAAGAGGTTATACATAAACAACTTTATGTAGTCCAAAGCATCTTTTTGCCTTTGCGTCATAAGTGCCACATAGACCTGATGTTCATAATATATATAACTTACATGCAAAGGAAGAGTACAGGCAACTTTGAGCAGCTATCTTATAAATGCTATGTTATGCCCATTAATCATTCCTATAGTATAAGCAACTTAAAATGGAAAGGAGGGAAAGGCTGGTAAATTTTAAAAACGACAAAATGGGTTATTATCTGTTTGTACCCAGTGGAACAAAGCATGGAAAAATCATGTCATATCTGAGAATTTTCCCATAAAAGGACTGCTAACATCTTTTTTTAATATTAGCTTCATGGGCCAAAAATTTGATACCCAGCATGTATCTTTGAATAATCTGCTATATATCAAAACAGATAATATGCTGCCAAATGTTTTACAGATGTCTATCAAAGAAGGTATCAGCAGTATGTAGAATGCACTGAAGTAGATGTGAAATAAATATATATTTTAATGTCTGTTACTTGATTTTAAGCTGATTATAGTTTAATTTAGCAGAATTTTAAAAATATATGTGCTGTGAAGATTCTAAGCACTATATATGTTTCTTCTCTATAGTATATTGTTTCTCAGATTCCTCTACTACGTCACATTATTACTGTGGATGGCAAGCCAACATCCTGGTCTGATTTTCCAAAAGGTGTTATTGTTCAAACTATGTCATCTGTTCAAGCTATTGGAGAAAAAACAGAAAATAGTATGTACTGTTCAGTCAATTGATTTTTTTTGTTATGGTGATGAAATAGAAAAGGAAAACACAGATTGAACAAAAAATCTTTGGCGTATTTCCAAATAAAGCTATCTGAATCCTGGTAAACTTGTAGCTGCTGAATGCTGTCAATATTGAACTAGTAGGACTTATGTTCTGACTAAAATGGAAAACAGCTGTGTGTGTTCCTTGGGAGAGGGACGAACAAAGAGAGGATAATAATTAAAATGAATATGTTTTCAGTTAAAGCTTCATTGCAGAGTGTATCCAGATAATCATTAGATTAGAATTAGATTAGAATACTTTATTGGCCAAGTGTGATTGGAGACACAAGGAATTTGTCTTGGTGTAAATACTCTCAGTATACATAAAGAAAAGGTACATTCGTTAAGAATCATAACGTATAACACTTAATGATAGTCATAGGGTGCAGTCAACAGTCAAATCATACTAGGAAACAGTCAAGTGGGAGGGGATGGGTGATAAGGAGTGGTGAGAAGATTAACAGTAATAGTAGTGTACACTTTATAAATAGTTGAACATTGTTGAGGGAATTATTTGTTTAGCAGAGTAATGGCTTTCGGGGGGAAAACTGTTCTTGTGTCTAGTTGTTTTGGTGTGCAGTGCTCTATAGCGTCGTTTTGAGGGGAGGAGTTGAAACAGTTTATGTCCGGGATGTGAGGGGTCTGTAAAAATTTTCACAGCCCTCTTTTTGACTCATGCAGTACACAGGTCCTCAATTGAAGGCAGGTGGGTAGTAATTGTTTTTTCTGCAGTCCTAATTATCCTCTGTGTCTGTGTCTGTCCTGTTGGGTTGCAGAACCAAATCAGACAGTTATAGAGGTGCAGATGATAGACGCAGTAATTCTTCTGTAGAACTATATCGGCAGCTCCTTGGGCAGTTTGAGCTTTCTGAGTTGGCGCAGAAGAACATTCTTTGTTGTGCTTTTTTGATGATGTTTTTGATGTTAGGTGTCCATTTTTGGTCATGTGATATAGTAGAACCTAGAAATTTGAAGGTCTACTCTTGATACTGTGTTGTCTAGTATTGTAAGAGGTGCTAGTATAGGAGAGTTTCTTCTAAACTCTACCACCATTTCTACAGTTTTGAGTGTGTTCAGTTCTAGATTGTTCCAGTTACACCACGAGGCAAGTTGTATAACCAGCTATCTGTATGCAGATTCATCATTGTCTCGAATGAGACCAATCACTGTTGTGTCATCAGCAAACTTCACTGTTTTAACAGATGGATCGTTTGAGATGCAGTCATTGGTATATAGGGAGAAGTGAAGAAAGCACATAGCCTTGAGGGGCCCCTGTGCTGATTGTACAGGTATTGGATGTGATTCTGCCTAGCTTCACCTGCTGTTTTCTGTCTGTTAGGAAGCTTATGATCCACTTACAAGTGTGTTCAGGTACCGCTAGTTGGTTTAATTCAATTAGAAGAGTGTCTGGAATGATGGTATTGAATGCTGAACTGAAGTCTACAAAGAGGACCCTTGCATAGGTATTTGGAGATTCAAGGTGTTGTAGGATGTCATGCAGAGCCATGTTAACAGCATCAACTGTCAATCTCTTTGCTCGGTATGCAAACTGCATGGGATCTAACAGCGGATCCGTGATGGTTTTCAGGTGGGACAGCATAAGCCTTTCAAAGATTTTCATAACTACAGATGTTAGAGCAACTCGTCTGTAGTCATTCAGTTCCTTGATGGAGGGCTTCTTTGGCACTGGGATGATGGTAGAACGTTTGAAGCAGGAAGGAACATAGCACATCTCTAGTGATCTATTGAAGATTCGGGTGAAGATGGGGGCCAATTGGTCAGCACAGACTTTTAAGCAAGAAGGAGTTATCTTGTCTGGCCCTGTTGCTTTTCCTGGCTTCTGTCTGTGTAATAGATCTTGCACTTCTTTTTCTGTGATCACCAGAGGTTGTGAGCCCAATGGATTGGGGCCAGTTGTAGGAGGCTTGGCTGTTTTATATTTTGTTTTATATTATGTTTTATATTTTTTAAAAAAAATGTTATATCATGCCAATCCTTTAAAAGAAGATATCAGTTGAATTCAGTTCCTTGAACAGGGAGTGGCATGAATTCAGATTCAGCAATAGGAATGTTGACATCAGATTTCTTGAGGGCTCCCTTCAGAAATAGTTCCATAGATGCCTACCAGTCAAGATATATAATAACTTTGGTCTGAAGGAAAACAATGCCCTAACAGAGCATGCTTGGGCGTACATGTAGTTTCTGTTAGCAGCTCCTTAAAGTATCTAGATCTTTTTCTAAGAACCTGTGGCTAACCCTTATTTATCACACTTCTCTACAAAAGTGCAGTCAACCTAAAACAAATGTGCTTAATTCATTTTGTTGATATCAGAGAGGAAAACTTTTAAAAAAGCACAAGAAAGAAATAAAGAATAAAGTATTTATTTTGAGTTTTAGCAAAAAAAAATTCAAAGTAGCATTCACATAGAAACAAAGCGACACAAAATCTTTTCTTCACAGTGAAAATAATTAATTTCACCATCTAAACCAGTTCCATTAACTTTACTGTCTGTTCACAGTGGGATTATATAAGTATTTCCATCTCTGTGCATACAAAAGTTTTGCTGCAGTTATCATGGAAATAATTGTATAACATTTAATGTTATCAAAAAGTTAATGGATCTAAATGTATATTATACTTTATATTTAAAAAGTTGGAAGTGATCCTTTTTCTATTATTTTTCCTTTGCACTTTTTCACCGTCCCATTCCCTATCTTTTCCTTTTTAATTCCCTTTTCTTGTTTTTTATATTTTATATTTTTTTCAGAAACGTAATAAAGTATATTTAAAAAAATAAAGAATATCATGGAAATATTTTTCATTCTAGTTTCAGTATACTATTTCAAAAGGCAACTGCCATTTTTTTTCCACTTGAAGATATTTCACTTCTCATCCAAGAAGCTTCTTCAGCTCTGACTAAAAGTCTTCAAGAACAAAAGCAAGAAAGTCTGGTTGCCTTTTGAAAAAGCATCTTTGGGACAACCATGATCTAGATCAGGGGTTGCCAACCTTTTGGACCTCAGGGACCACCAAACTTATAATTTTAAATATTATAAATATTTATATAAATATTGAATTTTTTATAAAAAGAGCAACTTTTACCCAAAATCAGGCAAAGCAGGCAGGCAGATTGAGTTGCTCACAGAATCACAGATTCATTCAGAGATCTATCTCTCTGCCATTGGCTAGCTAAGTCTGTCACATAAAATTTGCTTTCAAGAAACTCATAAAATTTGCTAGCACGAAAACTCACAAAATTAGCTCACAACACACCATGCATGTAAATATTGAATTTTTTATTTAAAAAAGAGCAACTTTTACCCAAAATCAGGCAAAGCAGGCAGATTGAGTTGCTCACAGAATCATTCAGTGATCTATCTGCCATCAGCTAGCTCAGTCTCTCAAATTTGCTTGCCATGAGTCTGCACTGAATTTGCTTGCAAGCAAACCTTGAATCCTAATGGAGGTTTGGCTGTGCTGAGCTGAAGATCTAAAGACTAGGTAGAAAGCAAGAAAGCCAACCATTTTCTGCTTCCTAGCTAATCTAAATCTCCTGGCACAGCAGAACAGATGATGGTCAGAAAAAGGAAAAATAGCAATTTATCAGGCAAGTTTACCAGGTAAGGAGTGAGTGGGCGGGGAGGCTTCCCGCGGGCCATGTGGGCGGCGCAGCCTTGTGTTTCTGTGCAGCCTGGATTAATTGCTTTGTGGGGGTGCTCTGGGGGTGAGATTTCTCTGCAGCCCACCAAAATTTTCTCACGGCTCACCAGTGGGTTGCGGCCCACTGGTTGGCAACCGCTGATCTAGATGACCAAGAATCTCCATAGACATTTTTTTATTCTAGTATGACTGCTGAAAGCTTGCAAGATTCTGGCTGTATTGGCTGTTCCTTTGTCAAGAAAAGCAAATTGGTTATATGTATTAGAATGTGTATGTTTGGGGACAATTTTAAAATATTTTTATCTAATGAATATGTTTCTACCTTTTATTTTTGTGAAGAATTATTCAAACAGAAGTTGAAACCAGTATCATCAGACATTGCAGTTATTATGTATACAAGTGGTTCTACAGGAGTCCCAAAAGGTGTCATGATCTCTCATTGTAATCTTATTTCTAGTATAACTGGGATGGCTGAAAGGATTCCAAATTTGGGGTATGTATTTCATTTGCTTTAGGAATTTAAATAGCTTTTATATTTCTTTACAATACTATAATCAATTATAATGCTTTCATTAAATCAGGGTTATAACAGAAAGCTAAATAATAGAAGAAAATCTGACTGGAAAGAATGATTTCTTTGCAGTTGTGCTTAACTACTGTTAACAAGGAACAGTGAAGGAGAAAAGCTATTTAATAGAACTATGAACAGTTTATATTCTTAAATGCATTTGGGCTTCATCCTTAGGGACATATGTGTTTTTCTTTATATCATAAAAGAATATACATCTTTTATCCATATTGTTATGTTTTCTTCTGTTTGTTTTCTTGATGCAATAGTATGCCAAGATATGTTTTAGAATATGTTATTATCATCTTTGCAATGAATTGGCATAATTTGATAAATACCTTAATTTGTTTTCAGAGAGAAAGATACCTACATTGGCTACTTGCCACTTGCTCATGTTTTAGAGTTAAGTGCTGAACTTGTTTGTTTGACCCATGGTTGCCGAATTGGTTATTCATCACCTCAAACTCTAAGTGATCAGGTAAGCTTTTTCAACAAATAAACATCCCCACATTGACATCATACATTTCACAGTATTTCCTAAATACAAAATGGAAGTGCTTGTCTTTTTTTTTTAAGTGCTTTTTTGTATTTCTGACAAAATATTCTTGGCCTATTTTCTGAAGTTATGGTAAAACTTCTTTTTCTTTAGTGTAGGCTACATTGTGAACAAATAAAAACAGATTGGATAAAGGCAACATATTACTTTATTTTTCTTTCAGTCATCTAAAATAAAGAAAGGGAGTAAAGGTGATGTGTCTACATTGAAGCCAACTTTAATGGCAGCTGTTCCAGTAAGTTGATGTCTGCAGTTTTAAAATATTGTTTAATATATGTGGAAAATATTTCTGAGCAGTCTGTGATCTATGTGATTATGGAAAGTATGACTTTAAAGAAAAAATATTCATATTTGTGTATTGTATGCTTAGAACCTTCTTAAAAATGCATGAATAAAGAGTGATTGATAGCTTCACGCTGAGTAAGCAAAACCTGGAATATAAGGGGGGCAATTTTCAGGGACCAAGTTCACTGACCAAATGAACAAAAAAAGCTAATAGGCAACATAGTCTTTAACAACTTTTCCTTCTGTGGACAAAACCATAAGATGGGAACAAGAAATAGCCTATTTATTAGGAAATGCAGGTAAAATGCTTCCTGTGGCTTGGTAGAATACTTATTTGAAAAAAATGCTTGAACACATTCAATTTGGAATGAGTGTCCAAAAAGATAGAATTTTAGGTGCATCATTACCACACAATACTCCTACAATTGTTGTGATAGAATAAATGTATAGTACATTGCAGTTTATCACTACTTGATGTAATTTATTGCTACAACTAGGAAATCATGGATTGAGTATTCAAAAAAAGTCATGAATTGAGTGTGTACTAACTAATCAAGGGTTTTAACTATTCCACTAAATTTTGCATGGGCCAAAATCTAAATCAGTTACTGTATTTAGTTCTAGGGAATATATTTTAAGAAGAATTTGGACAAATTAGAATGGGGTCAGAGAATGATAGTGAGGATAATTGGGATCCAGAAATTAAGCCTTGTGAAGAAACATTGAATTGGGAACGTTGACTTTTGAGAATAGTACCCTTGAAATACCTGAAAGGTTTTACAGAAAAGCCTGATGTTTTTATTCTACAGGACAGAATATGGGTAAAGTGCATTTGTCAGGATAAGGGCTACTATGGAAAAATGCACATTTCCGAGGTCCCACTAGATGCAATATTTAAGGAAAAGAATCGAGTGTGCCCAGTTTATCCAACAGTTTATCCATCCTGCAACTAATTTTTTCTTCCAGACATTTTTAAATTAAGCTATTGATTATTATAAAACACAAAAGTAAATAAAAGAGCAATGAGGAGGGAAGGGAGAAACAAAAGTAAATAAAAGAGCAATGAGGAGGGAAGGGAGAGGGGAAATAGAAGTGAGGAAAGGTAAGGAAAAGAAAAGAAAAAGAAGCATTGACTTCTGACTTTCTCTGATGCAGTAAAATAAGGCATTAGGGTCAAATCATAGCCTTTTGTTTTTCCATAATAATATGAACAAGTCATTTCTATAAAGATCTATCTTATCTAACGTATAAAACCCAAAGCCAAAGTTACATTCTTTTTCACATCAAGCACTTAGGTTCTTTTCTTTAATCAGAGTAGTCAGTTTTGCCAATGGCAAAACCATCCTGCAAATAATTTGACTTTGGGCCATGTAAGGCTTTAGAGGAAATAACCAGTACCTAGAATTTCACCCAGAAAGAAAGAAACTTGAAGTCTATGCAGACTTCATAATAGCAGTATGATATGGATATGTACCACATACGAATACTACATTGTTTTAAACATGTAATATTAGTTAGAATTTGATAACTACAAATTAAAAGAAGCTTTAAGATTTTTACTTTTTTTTGCTTTTTATTCCCATTTCAGCTGTTTGTGCCTTTTCCCATGAAAATAACATACGATTAATTTAAGGTGCTACAGAATAACTAAAAATGTGACTTATTTTCTAATTATGCTTCATGACTCATATTTGTTATATTATTAATGCTTTAAACATGTTAAACAGTAATTAAAAAGGGAGAAAAACTTGACAGCTTTATTAAAAGAAGTTCTGATAATGACATTGATGTATGGAGATTATTTAGGCATTTATGTCTTTTAAACATTTGAGTTGCATTTAGGATAGGTGTATATATAGCGATACGCTTTTCCTTTCTAGGTAAACATACCTCTAGCAGGAGATGGGAGAGGGAAAGGAGAAATGTAAATTTTAATTCAATTAACATTGTAAAAAAGCTTTCTAAATCAACTGGAATCTTTGGAATAGTTTTTGTAGCTACAATCATGTAATTCATTGCTTGAAACAACAAACAAAAGCAAAAAGCAGTTTTCTGTGCTCTGTGACACTATGCATTCTTGTTCCTCTGCCTTCCAGCTTTCAAAGGCTCCTAACCATACAAAATGTATAGTCATTATAGCCTTATGTTAAAGTAGTGCTTAGGTACTTGAAAAGTAATGTGAATGTGAGCATGGGAAAAAAATCGGGACCTTTGTAATATTTTTTGATTACATTCTTTTGCAGTAATAGTTTCAAAGCTTTGCCTTTTATCTGAAATTTTATTCTTACATATTTGAATGTTCAAATTCTTGGGGAAAATCTTAAGTTTTTATCTAATGTTAAACCAGATTACTGTAATGGAGTAAATGTACAACTCACTGCAATTTATCGCTGCTTGATGTAATTTATTTCTATAACTAGGAAATCATGGATCGAATCTACAAAAATGTCATGAATCGAGTTAATGAAATGTCCAGTTTTCAGCGCAATTTGTTTACTTTAGCTTATAATTACAAGATGGAACAGATTTCAAAAGGCTACAGTACTCCAGTATGTGACAGGTTGGTAAGAGAGGTTGATTTGTTTTTCTCTGTAGAGGAACATTTTTATGAAGGGATGCTAGGCTCCAAAAAAGAGCCCATTTGGGAAATAGTAGAAGTTAAGCTTATAAAACAGTAATGTTATTTTGGAAAGTTACTTCCAGCTACACTGTTTAAAAGAAAATAATAATTTATTGTATAAATCTGTTTATCTGCCATTGGCTATAACATACCTTCTTATTAGGGTGTGTTCTACTGAGAAGAGGATAATTTATTTCTTGGTAGCCATGTATAAGATACAGTTGCATTTTTTCTGAAACAACATTTTGCAAAGATAGTTAAATCTTTGGATTGGTTGTATATGCCATGCCGGTTAAACTGATGTTGTTAAGTAAAAGAAACAACTTCTTCATTTTCTTCTCCCCCCTCCCCTTTTAGCCTTGTTTTCCGGAAAGTCCGGATGCTGCTAGGTGGGAAGATACGGGTTTTACTCTGTGGAGGAGCTCCACTTTCTGCAGCAACTCAGAGATTTATGAACATCTGTTTTTGTTGTCCTGTTGGACAGGGCTATGGCCTGACAGAATCCTCTGGGGCTGGAACAATAACAGAAGGTCAGTAGTATTTGTAGATCAACATGGCAGTAGTGTGTAACAATATAATTGGGTGTTATCAGCATACTGGTTGATATTATTTCAAAACACTGACATTGCATATTGTTAGTTGTTCACAGACATGACAAATTATTACTGAAACTACTTCTGGTTTTTTTAAATTACATTTTCTTACATTTCAGTTTGGGACTACACAACAGGCAGAGTGGGAGCACCCTTAATTTGTTGTGAAATCAAGCTGATGAATTGGGAAGAAGGTAGGAAGAAACTTTAATGATTGTATGATAGTTCTTTTGGAAAAGGTTGAATACATTAACATATCAGAAAGGCTTGATCGTTAGTGGCAGAAATGAGGGCAGGTTCTCTATTTAGTTTCTCTGAGTTCTAAACAAAGCCTCTCCGAAGCTCATTAGATCTACCAATCCCTTCACCTTCCATACATATGTCTGTGCCTTAAAAGCAGTGGCATTTCGTGTAGTCACTTTTTCCCTCAGTGATTCTTGCTGGACTTCAAACCCAACCTGCTGAAACTGTCCATAGTCACCAGCCGGGGGGAGCGGGGGAGATAATCTTTATGGTAAAGGGTACTGTAATGCATATTCTGACATGCCTAACATGTCATATTCTTTTCCATCTGTATGTGCACATCATCAACACTGTCCCAGAGTGTGACACACAGTTCCTGCTTTTGTTTAGCACAGATAGAACATTTCTTAATGGTTGGAAGCAATAACTAACATTTGGAGGACATCTGGGCATTATGTTGATGACTTCCTGGGGTGTTTGTGTATATGTATTTTTCCTCAGTAATTTTGGGAGATTTTTATTTTTTAAAAAAACGTGTGTTTGTTAGGAAATAAAGCACATTTTCAATAATTTTACTATCAACATTTGATCGGACATGATTCTGAGCTGTTAGGTTTCAGCCCCAGAGGATTCTGTCAGGCTATAGCCCTGTTCCTATCCCTGTTTTAGATTCTGTTTCAGTCCTGCTAAGTTTAAGACTAGCACCTCAAACTATCTTGTTCTAGGTTGTATAGTTCCCACCAGCATCTTATAAAATGCCTCTTAAATCCTATCTCATCAAAGTAAAGGAGAAGCTGTTATCCTGAATCTCTTACAAAATTGCAGTGACTGAAAAAATCAGTAATTCTCTTTTCCTTCAACATAGGAAATTAGAGATTTTGAATTTTTCACCTCATATAATGCTGATGCCATTAGCTTTGATAATTATCTCTGGAATTACGGACATTTGTTTTTCAATATTATTGTTAATATCAACTATATTTAATTGTTGTCTCAATGTCAGGCTACTCTAGACAGCTTACCATAATAAAAAGGAAGAAATGAAAGAGTTGTAAACAGAACAGAAGTAAGATAATAGAACAATAAATTTTCTTAGACATATAAATAAACAAAAGTTTTATCGATTATGTGCCATCCACCAAATTAACAAAAATGAAATAGCACATAAAATCAAAAAAGCAATAAAATCAGGATACACCATAAAAAGTCACCATAAAACGTAGCATATACAATGATAAAATACTAGTAATTAGGAATCTTATTTTGTTAATAAGATATTTTTAAAAAGAGACCCATCACCATTCTCAGCATTTGAGAATATGCTGATTGTTATCTATGACAAAGTCATTTATAAAAACTCAGAAGCACACCTTCCTTGTAACAATGTCTTCTTCTGAAACAAAATTCCCCCAAGATCTGGATAGCCCCCATTCTGCCATTGTTTAGAGGAGCTATGAAGACTTATTCATTCAGCCCTTGTTACTGCTGGCCTCCTGCAGTTTGGTCCATCTGATCTTACAGGTTTTTATTTGTAGTCTCTCGGTGCCTACTGTCAGCCTTGGAAGCCATATTAGCTGATGGTTTTCTGGAACGCTGACACTCACTGTGTTGCAGTTTCATCTAATGAGAGGAATAAGAGCTGGATTGGTGGTTATAAGAGGCCATCTTGATTTCAAAACACTTTGTACTTTTGTCGTTTTTATTTTAAAAAATAATACATCTTCTATGCTACTGTGTTCTACATATGGATAATTGTGATCATTATATGAAGCCATTAGGAAGTTTGCTATTTAAAATATTTATTTGACACAAAATGAGAAAATAAATGTTCTCTTTCAGCTGAGGTATGGGAGCCCTTGTGGTATAGTGAGATGTTGGAATAGGAGCAGGGGCACCCAGGTTTAGAGTTCCAGCTAAAACTGTGAAAAAAGAGACAGACATCCCGATCTCTGGAACTAAAAACTTATATTGTTCACTAAGCTTTGGTTTGTTAATTGGTTAATGTTATATAAAGGCACATATCTCCTTAACAGTAGTTTACACTCTGACGATGTTAGCAGAGGCTAACGAAAACTTAGTGAACAATATAAATTTTTAGTTCCAGAGATCGGGATGTCTGTCTCTTTTTACACACACACACACACACACACACACACACGAATATGAAATGTGTGTGTGTGTGTGTGTGTGTGCCCTACCGGCCCTTCTTCCTTGGGCTCCCTGCCGTGGGGTACACCCACTTCCTCCTGCAAATTACGCCTCGCAAGTCTTCTCTCCCTTTCCGCTCGCTCCAAAAAGATCACCATTGTTTCCCGCCGATTCGGGCTTCCAGCCAAGTTGTGATCCACTAGTGAGGTTGCCATCTCGGATGGAGGCATCGCAGTCTCCCTCTCTTGCTTGCTCTGAACTTCGCGCGGACCAAAATAAAAAGATCGCCCGCTGTCATGTTTGGAGCTGCCACTTCCGCGTTTGGAGCACTGGTGCTGTTTGGAGCTCCAAATGGCGGTGGCACTCCAAACACGGAAGCGGCAGCTCCAAACTTGGCGACAGAATGGGCAGAAGGGAAAGCAACAGTGGCGGGTGCCAAAGGTGTCTGCAGCAAAGGTGGGAGTAGGGAGCTCTCTGCGCTTCGCCATGATCACCCGTTAGGAGCGGCTGGTGGCGAGGGTGCAAGGGGGGAATTAAGTCACCCCCCAAAATACGGCCTAGCCGTTTTTTCGGGGCTCAAAAAAAATAAAATAAGGCCCAGCCTTATTATGTGAGAAACACTGTGTGTGTGTGTGTATACATACACACACACACACAATATATATATATGTGTGTGTGTGTGTGTGCATTTTCTTAAGTTTTCGCGGATATATATATATATATATATATATAGTATTCAACTTTGTTTGGGTATTTTCCCACATCATTCCCACATCTTATATATGAATATATACACATACGTACATACATGCATACATACATACATACATACGTATCAAGAAAAAAATATAATTCCCCTTGGTAAGAGGGAATCTATGAACTCCATTTTTCCCAGAAAGATTGTATATAGATTAATAGTTGTCTTTTTGTATCCTAATTTGATTTATATCTAGGGAACATGCCCTGTGATATATCATAGATGGGATAAGGCAACATAGATTTAGGGATCCTGAGTTTTCATGTATTAATAGCAGCAAATTCCTCAGACTGTTGGTTGAATAAGTAACATGTTGTATAACTATACACTTCCTTCCAGGTTGATTTTTTATTTCAGTATAAAAATATTAATATTATTGTTGATATGTGACCTGTCCTCAGGCGCAGACATTGATCTTGTCATCTCAGGAGAATATTTTATTTATATATTACTAAAACTGTCCTGTCAGTTTGTCTGTTTGCAACCTTAAATTAGCTCAAATGGTACCTCATAGTATATTTTTGAGACAAGGTATCAAATTTGGTAATATAAAGAATGCATACAAAACTGGGATCATTGCTTTCATGCAATTGAAATATCAGTGATTTCTCATCAGTTCTATTTGCAAAGTTGTCACAGCTATAATAGCTTTGTGGTTAGCAGCAATTGAATTCTAATTTTCATCTATACCTCTTGAAAACCGTCTCCCAGCAAAATGGCATGCCATTTCAAAGGTCAGCCAAGGAGGAGGACAAGGCTTCACCCAGGGTTCTGCTTAGGGACATGAGGGGAGGGAAAACAGTGCTACCCTATATTATACATGGAAAATAGGATGTTCAAACAGGTTATGGGTTGTCTAGTTTTAATTTATTTATCAAATTTATGTGGCCGCCTATCTGACACAAGATCAATTTGAGGGGCATACAGTAAAACCAACATTTTACACATGTGCTAAAATCATTTAAAACATTTCAATTAATACTAAAACCAAGATCATAAGAGAGTTAAAATCAAAATGTTATATGTATTGTAGCTACTGTGCAGATTCTCCTGCTGTCAGGAGAGGTGTTTTGAGGGCTTTCTGAAAGACAGAGAATTAGCATCCAATGAGTGTATGTTGACAACTTTATAAGTATTATAAAGAAATCATTAAAATTTGCAGAAGTATACAGTTCTTTTTGTAATATAGAAGCAAAGTGCATGCATGATACATGCTTTTTTAATATATATTTTCTAGTTGCACTTCCTATAGCCAGATCTTAAAATAAGTAATCTGTCACATTTGAACAATTTTTTTTAAAATGCAAGATGAGAGATTACCAATACTTTTTGCATGTTTATTCTATTTCAAGTAGTTAGGGTTCTTTCACTAAATATGGCATTTTAAAATTATATACTTTAAGTATGATTGATAAATAAATATTAAGTGAAGAGAATACACAGAAGAGTTCGCTGGCCTTAAAATGTTATTTCCATAATATTTGCAATGACTTTATCAAAATTCTAATAAATTATTTTTGCGGTTTATACTTGGATCACACAATGGAAAATTTTAGTCATTGTTAATAAGATAAATATAAAAGGCTAGTACTGTGGAACTGGCACTCTAAAAACTGATAACTGGATTATACTGGATTTAGCTAAAGAAGCTTTGAATTCAAATATTTATTATAGGTGCCATTTTGGGGCCTATTACACACACCTTTTTCACTTAGCCTGTTTTGCATAATTTGTTTGTAACTACATAATTACTGAAAAAGTTAACCTTTGTTTTTACTCTGCAAAGCTGAGTTTATTTTGAATGTTTTGGGAATGGTAGAAAGAAAACTGAACATTGCATTTTGATTCCAAGCTAAGTCAGCCCTTTTTGGATTTATTTTTCTTGAATAGAATTTATGGATTGATAAGAACTTCATTTCAGTTCTTAGCCAACCAAGCAGATGACCAGTGTTAAATGATAGAACAACCACCTCTATCTAGGATGCTGGAAAGACAGTTGTCAATACATTGTTTAGAATTATACCTGCAGTTTTAATTGTTGTATTGCACAGTTCACTTTGTCTAGTTAGCCATTTTCACAGTAACCACTTGTATGTGTGTATGTGTGATTGCATACTTTCTAGTCCATCAAAGTGTTTCATTGTAGAGCTCTTCCAGTCCACATTCTCAGTGTATCCTTCGTGTATTGTAGTTTATATTTCCACACAATATTAATAAGCAACCTGCTTGGTTCTTTTTCTCACTGGAAATGTGTTTATTACTTATCTGTATGAACTGGTTGTTTCTTTCCATAGAAGTCAACATTTAACAATATACCATGCCTTCTTTTCCTTTCTTGTTTTCTTTCATAGCAACACAGCATTCTTGTTTATAAATAATAATAAAAAACCAAAACTAGCACATTGCAAATTGGAATTATTAGCTACATCATTGGCTGGAACAGGAACACATTTATGGAAATCCTGTCTTACTGCTTTGTCTGTGTAGGGTAGTGCATATATATGTGTGCATTTTTTAAAAAATGTGTCTGGATATACAGCTTCACTTGTGTTGAATTTGAAATATATCTGTTCTATAGGTGGATACTTTAATACAGATAAGCCATACCCTAGAGGTGAGATTGTTATTGGTGGTCCAAACATAACTATGGGATACTACAAAAATGAAGAACGAACCAAGTCTGAATTTATGGTTGATGAGAATGGAGAGAGATGGCTCTACACTGGAGATATTGGGGAATTCCAATCAGATGGGTGTCTAAAAATTATTGGTGAGTGTAGTGTGCAGACCTTAATTGAAATACTTTTTGCTGCAAAATCATTTGACCGTGGTAGATTTGGTTCTCTATTATTTATTTGAATATATTTAATGCTAAATATATATATGTTCTATTGAGAGTTTATTTCTTGCTTAGAATTGTATTTATTTTTATTATGTTGGAGAGTCAGTTTGGTGTCTACACCAATCACTACTGTGATTAAGGTATCAGGCTAGAAACTGGTAGACCAAGAGTTTAAATCTGTTTTAGGCATAGAGCTAGTGGGTGACCTTGGACCAATCACTTTCTTTCAGTCCTAGAAAGGAAATAATGGCAAATCATTTCTGAAAAACTTTGCCAAGAAAAATGCAAGAATTTGCCCAGGCAGTCTCCAAGGAAATGATTGAACAGAGGAAAACAGAACACTTGATTTATTGGATTTATTAATGCTCTCCCTAGAATAAGCCTGTAATATTAGATCAGTTTTCTCTAGCTTAAGCATCTTCCAAATATATATATTTAAATTCTCAGAATTCCTAGTCAGTGACGATTGGTAAGAGTTCTGGGTGTTGAACACAATTGGGAAGAATGTAAGACACAACTTATTAAATTTACATATTCTTACAATTAGGGTAACTACTCAGTTGCAGAACAATCTTGTGTATGCTTATTTAGAAGTAAAAGTCTATATCTTTGTTCTTTTCTTTTTGTCTTTTTGGACAATATAATATCTTTTTGGATATTTAGACAATGTCTTTTTGGATTTTTTTTTGACAACCCTCTTTATTTACTAAATAGTATTTTTGAAGTAGTTATTAGACTAAATATGAGATTATTAGAGTTCTGGGAAGATACACAGTGGGCAAGACATTGCGTTCACTTTGTTATTTTAATATATTAGGTTAATTGCCAAGTCAGTATTCATTTTGACAGTAGTTTATGCTTTAATTATGGTTTACCATTATGTGTGAATTTATTTAGAAAACTCAACATAAAAGCTAAGACATTTTGGACTTAAATGCATATTGCTGTAAACTAATAAAAGTTGTTCTATCCAGATTTGTTAAATGCAAATAGTCTTAATTCAGAAATAAATAGTAGGCCCATCATAAATCTTAACTTTTTACATATAATTTTCATGTCATTTATTCATTATAACATTCATTTTAATTTCCCATTCAATAGATCGTAAAAAGGATCTTGTAAAACTTCAAGCAGGTGAATATGTTTCTCTTGGAAAGGTTGAAGCAGTTTTGAAGAATCTTCCCCTGGTAGATAATATTTGTGTATATGCAAGCAGGTAAAGCAGTATAACTTTATGTTCATTTTTGCATGGGCAACAAATATTTTCTAGAAATGTCTTTCTTGGTATTGTGTATTTTTATGAAAAATACAGTCATTGCCTTTTAAACCTGTTCACATTTTGTAGAAAAAAATATATTTCTTTTTGCTGTATTCAATATTAGGCACTGTTAGGTTACTTCAGTTAATGTTGAATTACTGTTCAGAAATGCCCATATTTAACTGTTTCTAAAAGATAATTGTTGATAGGTTTTTTTTCTCCCAATGCCCCCAGAATCAGAATTTTTGTATGATCCCTCAACTTAGAGCCTGTTTGCTTATTACAGCTGTGTATACTAGACTAGAAAGAGACTTTTTAAAATCCTGAAGTTCTCCCTCCCACAACTATCTCACCAGGCAGGTTCCCTAGAGTAACTTGAAGCTCTGACTCACCCATCACCTTTCTCTGCCTTTTTAAGAAAAATAAAGAGCTCCAAATAAGAGAAGTAGAGAATAGATTTTTGTCTGAGGAAAAAGATCATGTTTCTGCCTGACTACGTTTATTGTTTGTTTTTCATTTTGTGTTTTTAGTTGATAAAGCATTTAACTCTCAAATTCCAATCTCTTTTGTTTCTTCCTTAATAACTCTAGAGGTTTAATAAATTCAAATCCACTAGTCATTAGATGAAAAAATATCTATGACCTACAGTTCTGGAATGCTTTCTTGCCTTTCCTATTAATTTATCGTTACTAGTCTAAGACTTCTCTCTTCTCCCAATTTAACATATTTTCATTATTTTGATGTCCAAATTCTGTTTTGTCATGTTGGTTCTATGAGACCTTGCAGTTAAGTTCCTGGTAGATATCTTATAATAATAATAAAACTTACGATAATGCTTAGGATAATAAGAAAGTTACATTAATTTTTATATTTTTTAAATTTTGTATCATGTGGTTTTTGTTTTACATTCTTAATTTTATACTATAAAGTGACTAGAGAAATTATGTAGCAGTATAAAATTATTATTTAAAATAGATTTATTCTCTGGAGCACCCAAGAACCAATGAGTGAAACTTTTTAGTAAGAAATCCATACATGAAATAAGGAATAATTTCCTGACTGAGAGAGTTATTAAGCAATTCAGTCTGCTTTCTGAAGTTGTGAATGCTCTATCACTGAATGTTTTCAATAAAATATTGGATATATATTTCTCCAGGATGGTATGAGGAGTCTGTATTGAGCATAGGATGAAGACCTCTAAAGTCCCTTCCAACTTTGGCAATTAAAAGAATCTTCTATAATGCAATTGTGCTACTAAATATATCTGATTTATAACCAATATGATGGATTTCCTGCATCTTTGAGGAATATAAAAACAGTGTATTAAGAATGGTGAAAAAATTGCTGTCACAATTGAAACCTTTGTGACTAAAATAATATTACTTCATTATATTTGGGGGGAAAGTTTTTAGAAAAATATATAATGAACGTGTAGAAGATTACTAACATTTTATAAAACAGATGAGCAACTTAATTATGAAATTGTACATATCTCTTTGTATTAGTTTCCATTCTTTTATCATTGGATTTATTGTGCCAAATCATAAAGAACTTAAAGAGTTAGCAAGAAAGAAAGGATTCAGAGGCACTTTGGAAGAGATCTGTAATAATTCTGAAGTGGAGAAAGAAGTACAGAAGCTTTTAACTGAGGCTGCTAGAACAGGTAAGTTACCAATTTTGTTCAAGTTACCATGTAAAACAAACTAAAATTCATGAGGATTCACTAGGATCCCCTAGAGATATTCTGAAATATATTCTTAAGATTCATATTTATTATTATTAATACAACAGGATAGGGACAAACAAATCTCACAGAATTGCCCAAACTTGTATCTCAACACCCTGTTTCTCATTATGACAAACCAGATGATTCCAAGAAGCCCAGAAGAAGCACCCATGTGCCCAAAATACAAAAAGTGTTTTATTTTCAACTCAGAATATTGAATCTTGGAAATTCTACCAAATACTGGATCAGCCATGATTCAGCAGACACAAAAATTATAACCCTGGGAAAATTATAACCCTGGGAAAAGCAAGATTCAGAAGTAATCTCTTTGGCTTCCAATTTATTTATTTATCAATCAGTCACATTTATATAATCTGTGTGCCCATTGGACAATAAGAAAGCGATGTAGAAGCTGTTATATTTTGCTGCCAGTCATCCATATTTTTTCAGTGCAGATTGGTAGCCTTATTCCTAATTTTCCTTACATTTTAAGTAGTCACTTGCGCTGGGTGGATAGGTTTCAGATTGAATGAGAGGAATAAATCCGAATTCTGAACTCTCACTACACATAACCCTTTAAGCAGATTCTTTTTTTTTTTTTTGAGAGGAGACATGCTGGCAAAAATAAATTTTGATCTTCCTGTGGTTGCCATTTCTGAAACCAGGAGCCCTGTCTACCAGGGAAATGGCCAGTGTGGACTTGTCATCCCTTTCACTCTTGGTCATGAAAGCTAGAAAATGCAAATACTTCTCAAACCCAAATGTTCAGCCACTGCATGATTTTACAGTCTGGCCTGCCAATTTCCCTTGGAGTTCACCCAAGGATATTTCTAAGAAGAAGAAAAAAAACAAAACAGCTTATTGTGGCTGTCTACATGTTGTAAAGTTTCTTCATAAAGAAAGCTTGGAGAGCAGAAATTGCCTTGCCTATAAATTTCTACTCGCAGGGATCTAAAGTACCTATAAAAGTTGCCTCAAAGTCAAAGAGGCAACCAGAACCCTTAATACCAGTCCCCATTATTCCAGCTGAAGCATCTATTCAGCATTGAGTCCAAGGTTGTTTCTTCCTTTGGGGCTCTTTCTCTAATAAGTCTTTTAACAACCAGATCCAGAACAGCTGCTTTGTAGCACATGCTTTTTAAATGCCTGATGGTTCACTTCATAATTCTACCCAGATTAACTGATACCTCTGCCCCCACTTCAATCTATGTCAGGAACAGTCAGGATATAATTATTTCTTCCTGCTTTACTGCTGTACACAGAAGAATGCAAAATATAACAACCAGTACTTAAAAAATATTAAATAACTTCCAATCTGAGCAACTAAAACAGAACACTGAAAATATCTCAATCTGGAACAATCAAGTTTCTAGAATAACATATCAAAACAGCCTTTTCAATTGATATTTGCACAAGATAGTGCACGTACAACGTATTTTTCAGTGCCATCCGTCTGTTACTATTATTTACTCATGCAGATTTTCTTTGAAATAAGAAATAGTCACTATGATAACTGTTTACAAGGCCAGATGAATTGCATTCTATTGAAGAAAGTTTAATATACAGGTAATTCTTGACTTACGACCACAATTGGAACCAGAATTTTCATTGCTAAACAAGGCAATTGTAAAGTGAGTTGTGCCTGATTTTGCGACATTTTTTTGCCAGAGCAATTAAGCAAATCATTGCAGTTGTTAAGTGAATCTGCATATTCCCATATACTTGTTTAGAAGCTACTGTGAAAGTTGCAAATAGCCATCACATGACCCCAGAACACTGCGACTATCATAAATGTATGCCATTGCCAAGCACCCAAATTTTAATCATGAGACCCCAGGGATGCTGCAGTAATAGTAAGAAAAATGGAATGATAATTATCAGAGGACTGAAAACTAGGTGCCGTGAAGAGATCTTGAAAGTAGTGGGAATTTTAATCATGGGATGGGAAGAAAAGATATTGCCTAGATAAAGCTTAACTCTCTACTTCAGCTGGCCCCTACCTTTTGGGCACCAAGGATCGATTCCATGGAGGGCACTTTTTCCACCGATTAGGAGGGCATGGTTTCGCATGTTTACTGGATCCTATGTGTGCCTAGATGGGGCATCACTCACTTGCATGGCCCAGTTCCTGGGAGGCTGCTGAAGGGTGCCAGACCATGTCTGAGGGTTGGGACCCCCGGTTCTAGTCCATTATTCCAGGATATGGGCTACCAAATAATGCACCTTATAGAAGGTAAATTTTAATTCAATAATTCAAAAAATATTTTTCCAACATTAAAATAATGGAAACCGTTATACCACTACTTTGCTAGATTTGTTCAAAAAGAGGCTGGCTAGCCTTCCATCAGGGATACTTTAAATAGGAAAATTTTAAATTCATCCACTGAACTGGCTACTGGACTTGATAGTGCAAATACTATAGTGCATTCTAACTTTTATAATTTGACTTTTCTCACTGAGTTTGTAGAAGAGCTTTTTAAAAACTTCACAGCTATCCATTGTTAAATTTTGGATCTAGACAGTTCAATACTGCACTGTATTTCTTAAATCTTTGCTGCCCCTCTTTATGATCTTAAATTTTAATATTATTTCAAAAAAAGAGAAAAAGTTCATTCCCACACTATGCATTTCTTAATATTTGTAATTGCCATATCTCTGATTCTAGGTGAAATAACCCAGAGGTTTTAGATACTTCTCATAAGCAAATGTGTTAAAATTTAGTGTTAAAATAAGAGCCATGGTGACGCAATGGTTAGAATGCAGTACTGCAGGCTACTTCTGTTGATCATTGGCTCAAAGTTGGGTCTCACTGGTTCAAAGTTGACTCAGCCTACCATCCTTCCAAAGTTGGGAAGGTGAGGACCCAGATTGTTGGGGGTAATATGCTGACTCCGTAAGAGGGCTGTAAAGGATTGTGAAGTGGTATGTAAGTCTAAGTGCTATTGCTATTTTATCTTTTTGTGTATCTATTCCAAGTTCATAGCATTTGTTCCAGGATTATAATAACCTTTTAAATATATAATTTATAAGCTAAAATTTTATCTTTCTGTTACAGCTAATCTGGAGAAATTTGAAATACCCCTTAAAATTCGGTTGTCCCCTGAACCTTGGACCCCTGAAACGGGTTTGGTGACAGATGCCTTCAAACTAAAGCGCAAAGAGCTTACTGCACATTATCAAGAAGATATTAATCGAATGTATGGAACAAAAGTAAAATAACTCATCCCTCGCTTTTTCTCTCTCTGTCTTTTTTTTATATATCACTTTGCTATGGTGAGCTCAGATCAAATAGGAAATACTTGAACTCTAAGTCCTACCACTTGGGACCAACCTTAAAACATCTCTCCTTCCTTTCAGCAATATGCTGTTACTTCTGATATCACCATCTTTAAACTGGCAGGATTAGTAAAATTCTAAGACAGCATTTTTTTGTCTGTCTTCATTTGTTCCAGTCTCTTGAGCTATCTTGTTAATGTGCAGATTTTCCTATAAATCCATTTGGACTACCATGATTTTGAAGCCTCAAATTTTTAAACCGGATTTATAATCCTGTATAATGTTCTGTTTATTTGTAACTTTTTTGAAGTTTGGCTAAATAGAGGAAGAACTTGGCTATAAAACAAATTATTATTCTAAGCCTTTTTTACATACATATTTAAATATTCAAGAGCTATCAATGTGAAATTATGTACATTGAAATCATTTATAGTTGAAAATCATTGTTAGCCAGAAGATGGAGGTTATTTGTTGCTGTGCAATTATTTTGGATCAAATTATAAGAGAAATCGTCTATGATTCTGACTAATAGAGAACAACTGAAATATATGCCTGACAATTTCCTCCTACGTATATATTTTATTTTTAATCTCAGATAAGGAAAATGGTCATGGCAAATGCTGTATGTGTGAGAACACCTGCAAAAGAAAGTATATCAATATTTTAATCGTGCAGAGTATGCTGTCACATAGAAAATGTTACATCTGTGAATCACCTCCCTAACATAGGTAATTCACTTTTCAAAATGCATTTAGACCATTTAACAAAAAAATTGAATTATTGAACTAGTGAGAACTCAGTTTTAATTGAATTACATTTTGATTGTAATGTGTTTTACTTAATATATCGTTTATTGTATTGTTTTACAGTTCAGACCTATTCCTTTTACTTGTGTGTGTAAATCAACAGTTCAATTAAAAACATTTAAAGTCCATTATGGCCATTTCCTGCATGAGTCAGCTAAAATGGATCAGCATTCTTGCATACCTTTCAATGGGGAAGAGGGTATGATGGGATGGGAAAGTTCCCTGTATCAGTTTATAATGGATTGTGTGCTTGGAGTCTATTTCCATTGAACCATTGTTTGTTTTTATATTCCCTTTGTTTTAACTACCATGAATGATGATAGAAGGGACATTTTTAATTACCTGGTTATAGGAATCTTGGTTGTATTATTTGGAAAGAATGTAAAAAATTCTTACTAGTTACCTATTCTTGTGGACATAATCCATGTCAATTTTCTTTGGATTTCTAAATATTGTTTTATGCACTAAACCTGTCACTTGACAATAAGTTCCATTTTTACGGTCCCTTTGAAATAGTACTGTAAAATATTTGGCTCTTGACCATCTGCTGTTGTTCATATAGATGTTTTTGCAAAAACAGAGCAGACCTGACCCCAAACTGGGAAAAGCCCAGGTGGACAATGGAAATGTGTTTTTCTTGTGATTCAAGAGATGATGATTATTCTCTTCTGCATGAGTATCTATATTTCATGATGATTTAAAGTTCCACATATATAAAGTCTAAGTATGAGTTTTCTTTATCCAATTATACAGGCAACTTGAAAACATGAAACATATGTTAGCAAATGTTATTTGCAAATAGCAAAATGCTTTTATTTCCTTTCTCTGATGCAACAAACTAGCACATGATTTTTAATCTGTATCTGAATAATGCGGCAATGATTACAAAATTGTTTTGAATACTGTTCAGCCAACATTAAGCACTTTTGAAGCCATTGGTTTCAGTTGACAATTTAGAAGTGTCAAACTCACGGCATCACAACATCACCTGACATATTGGGACTCCCCCCCTTCACTAAACTGGGTGTGGCCATGGCCAGTGTGTAATGCATCCGGTCTGTAGGCTGGTAGCTTGACAGCTCCAATTTAGTGCTTGTTACTTCTTCTTTTTCTGTCTGAAGTGGTGGATTTCCAACTGTTTAATTTTGCATAGACTGTGCTATTATATGCTTCCCACTATGCCTTTTATTTGAGAAACAATACAATTTGGTTATATTTTAATTAGAAAGATAAAAATTGTGTACAGTGGAACATTTTCTTCTAATATGCAGAGATTAGAACAGGAGGTTATTTATAATGGTTTAAGAATACTGAGAGTTATCTGTATTGGGTTCCAGTTCATGAAAATGTTACTTTGCTTACCATATAGAATGAAATTGGTTAGTGGAAAAATACAGATTTAAAAGTCCCCATAATTAAATCAACAATGTGTGTTTTTCTGTTAAAATTCACTTTAAGTATACTTTGTAAAAAATTTATGAAAACTAGGTGTGTGTTGTAAAAAAACCTAATGAATATTGTCTGGATTTCACATATTTCTACTTCTATTGTATAAAAACTGAATGTGACATTTGGATACAAACTAATCATCTGTTTTAATATTTGGATTCTATGGGGCTAAGCTCTGTCACCGATATTTCTAGAATTGTTTAAATTTATCCCTGCATTTCGAAGGATTATACGAGGACTTGAAATACGTGATGGGAGAAACTACATACAGGTGAAACTCGAAAAATTAGAATATCGTGCAAAAGTTCATTTATTTCAGTAATGCAACTTAAACGGTGAAACTAATATATGAGATAGACTCATTACATGCAAAGCAATATCGTTCAAGCCGTGATTTGTCATAATTGTGATGATTATGGCTTACAGCTCATGAAAACCCAAAATCCACAATCACAGAAAATTAGAATATTACATGCAATCAATAAAACAAGGATTGTACATAGAACAATATCGGACCTCTGGAAAGTATAAGCATGCATATACTTGGTTTGGGCCCCTTTTCCAGCAATTACTGCTTCAGTGCGGTGTGGCATGGAAGCTATCAGCCTGTGGCACTGCTGAGGTGTTATGGAAGACCAGGATGCTTCAATAATGGCCTTCAGCTCTTCTGCATTGTTTGGTCTCATGTCTCTCATCTTTCTCTTGGCAATGCCCCATAGATTCTCTATTGGGTTCAGGTCAGGCAAGTGTGCTGGCCAATCAAGCACAGTAATCCCACGGTCATTGAACCAGGTTTTGATGCTTTTGGCAGTGTGGGCGGGTGCCAAGTCCTGTTGGAAAATGGAGTCAGCATCCCCATACAGCTCGTCTGCAGAAGGAAGCATGAAGTGCTCCAAAATCTCCTGGTAAACGGCTGCGTTGATCCTGGACTTAATGAAGCACAGTGGACCAACACCAGCAGATGACATGGCTCCCCAAATCAACACAGACTGGAAACTTCACACTGAACTTCAAGCATCTTGCAGTGTGTTGCTCTCCATTCTTCCTCCTTGGTTTCCAAATGAGATACAAAAGTTGCTCTCATCAGAAAAGAGGACTTTGGACCACTGAGCAACAGACTAGTTCTGTTTTTCTTTAGCCTAGGTAAGATGCTTCTGACATTGTTCAGGAGAGGCTTGACAAGAGGAATATGACATTTGAAGCCCATGTCCAGGATCCATCTCTGTGTGGTGGCTCTTGATGCACTGACTCCAGCCTCAGTCCACTCTGAGAGAAAGTCCCCAACACTTTTGAATGGCCTTTTCCTGACAATCCTCTCCAGGCTGCGGTCATCCCTGCTGCTTGTGCACCTTTTATTTCCACATTTTTCCCTTCCACATAACTTTCTATTAACGTGCTTTGATACAGCTCTTTGGGAACATCCAACTTCTTTTGCAATTACCTTTTGAGGCTTTCTCTCCTTATGGAGGGTGTCAGTGATGGTTTTCTGCACAGCTGTCAGGTCAGCAGTCTTTCCCATGATTGTGATTCCTACTGAACCAGACTGAGACCATTTAAAGGCTCAGGAACCCTTTGCAGGTATTATGGCAGAGTTAGCTGATTAGAGTGGGACACTTTGAGCCTAGAATATTGAACCTTTTCACAATATTCTAATTTTCTGAGATTGTGGATTTGGGGTTTTCATGAGCTGTAAGCAATAATCATCTCAATTATGCCACATCACAGCTGGAACTATCTTGCTTTGCATGTAATGAGTCTATCTCATATATTAGGTTCACCTTTTAAGTTGCATTACTAACATAAATGAACTTTTGCACGATATTCTAGTTTTTTGAGTTTCACCTGTACTATGCTGTTCCACATGTTTTCAATCCCAGGCTTCCTTGTGTAGAGGTTTACAACAAAGGGGGTTATATATGGGCTATATAGAATGTGGTGCAATATACATCTTTCTCTCCCCCTAAAAACTTTGAGCCATGATTCACTTACAAATAGGTTTACACTTTAAAAATGCTCATGATGTAATTTCCTTTGTTGAGGTTCTTCATGTAGAATTACAATAGGAAATTGCTCATTATTACTATATAATATTTTTATGCCTGTGGTTTTTTGATTTGGGTACTAGCAGATTTGCTGTATTTATGTTAAACCCTTAGACTTTACAGATATGTGGTATCATTGACTTTTTCTCATTGGAAAGAATTAGTTTTCAAAGACTAATTGTAGCAGTAAAGGTGACTATGGTCTTCTTCCCATTGATTTATTGCCAGGGTATATTCTTCATGTTTCATCTCCACAATATATGGACAAAAATACAATGTTAATGGGGGGAATCACATGCATATTTTTTTGTCTTGTTGTCTTCCCTTTGAAAACTAGATAAGAACTGAAAGGGTTGTCTCCTCAATAGAATTTCATTTTCTCTGGGTGTTGGTATGGATATGCTGCATGAAAGAGTCAAAGCACTGCTTCCATCCAGTTTTAGTTCATTTCGCTTGGATGGAAACCCATGGAAATTCTGTTAAAAATAACTATAGCAGCAGTTATTATAGCCTTAGTGTCAGAAAACAGTTTTCAGTGGATGCAGTTTACAGATAGGCTATTTCTGTTTACCTCAGGGGAAACTTTCCTTTAGCAGTAAAATATTTTGCTGGATTTGAAAGCTATTTTGTCCCAATTACTAAATGCAGTGTGCAGTTAAAATCTTAATGAAGCCCTATAGCTGTGTTTTAGGTTCTCATTTGCTTTAAATAAAGTTAAGAAAAATATATTGAGTTGAAACACAGATGAGTTTCGTCCATTAAAGCTTGAGATTTTGTGCAATAACTCAACAAAATTGAAATCCTTTGAAAATAATAAAAAATAAATAAACAAGCTTGTTTTTCTGCTTTTTATTTCCACTTATTTTTATTTTTCAAGTATATTCATTGTTAATGTTCTTTTATATTGTAAAACATTATCTTCAACGGATATCTTCTAACCAGGTAAAAAGAGGGAAATGTAAGACTTGTACCCATATTACATCAAACTAAAATGGAACTGGATGACCAATTGTTCTAATAATTGGTTATTTAATATAAATTCATGGACTTGGTTGTTGTTCTGAACTGCCTAAAATGTGTGTATTACTACAGAGTTTTATTGTATGATTATTTATTTTTCATTGGACATTTCATTGGATAAAATAAAATTGAGTTTCACAAGTTTACTTTTTTCTTGTGTCTGAGTTTTCACTTTAGGAGCATTAATTCTAATCCTGACCTCCCAAAATGGGGTGTGCAACATGTGGCCTTCCAAGATATTCTATTTTCTGTTGGCCATACCAGCTGCAGTTGTTGGGTGTTGAATTTCTAAACCTGAAGCGCTTTAGCATTCCTGCCATAGAAGATTACCAGAAATTGTTATGTACAAAGAATGAATTTCATTTTTTTAATGGCCAGGTTATCACAATCATTATATTAGTTCACATTCTCTTTTCCCATGACCCATCTTGCTTGTGTGAGCATTGAAGAAAGAAAAAAGTGGCTTGAAATACTTCTTAGCTCAAACAAATGCCTATTGGTCAGAAGAAAAAAATATTTTAAAAGTAATTTTCTAGTTTTTGTAAGCAGTTGAGCAAGTTGCTGTAAAAAATGATGACTATTAACCAACACCAGATTTACTGTAGTGAGGACTACAGAGAAATATATAGTTTTTTACAGTATGGTATAATGGAGACAATAAATGAGAAAAGTCTTTGGACTTACTACAGTGGTACCTTGGTACACTGCTGCTTTGAAAATCTTGATTTTCGTACTCGATGCATTTTGATGCAAAAATTTTATCCAGGTACTCATTGTTTGCTTGGTACTCAATGCACAAGCTAGAACTTGGTGTCAGTTTCCTTGTGACTCGCTACATATTCCTTATGGGAAAAAAATTGTTTGATACTCATTACTTTTGCTACTAATTGCACCTCCCAGAACCAATTAACAGTGAGTACTGAGGTACCACTGCAGACCAGGTAGAAATCTTATCAATGAATTAGATACATCTCAGTACAACAATTTTCAGAGCATCTTCCAATACATAATTCAACATAAGAAAAATAATATTGGTTGTAACAAGAATTTCTTTTTGGCCAGCCTGACACTATAAATACTGATTGCTTTCTATACTTTTTTTGAATAGGTAAACAAGGATAATAATGGTTTACAAGTCACAATGGCTGGATTCACACAATATGCTAAGCCAAAATTAAGTAAACAGCTTTATGCAGTATAGGAACTTACCTTGAAAGCAAGCTAGGTTTTAAAAAATGGGAATTCTATAGCTATAGTTACATGTATGAATGGTACAGTATTTTGTGTCAAGTTACATGGTCAAGTCTATAATTATTTTTTTGCCTTAGTTTTTTTATCTCAAAACTGCTGGCAAGGAAAAGAAAAGGTTATCTTTTGAAACAATATTCTGTAAATCTTGATGCGGATGGAGATTGTGCAGAGAGCAAGCCCACTCCCTTCTAGCACTGAAGATGTTACCTAGTTGGAAAATGAAATTTCTGCAAGAAAACAAGTTCAGAGAGAACCAATGTTGTGCCCTTTGGGCTGCCAGCAAAGCTAGCAGCAGAGTTAGATGAGGTTGAGGGGGAGCTTCAGAGCCTTTGGAAAGCTCTGATGAGGAAGCAGGATCAGAGGCAATTGCAAAGCTGGGGCCTTCCATTCTCCCCCAGGTGGAGAGGCAGCTGTCTTTGGGGCCTGAGCTGAATAAGGGAGAGAAACAGATGGGGCCCATTCCAGATG